AATATGCTGACTCTGTAAACCGCTTAGAGAGGGCTGAAAGCCCTATGAAGCGGTATATAAGTCTAACTGCTATTGCTATTGCTATTGCTATCACAACACAAGGCAGTCAACTGGATGGTACCATTTGCCTACAATGAAATGAAATGGAGATGGTGAGCCAGATTGCATTGCTGGTGCTGGCAGAAAAGTCAGAAAACACTACTTTTGATGCATAGATGGAAAAATCTGTTCATCTTCTGGTAAGCTCTGGGGGATGACATCATGTGTTCCTGGCCTCAGGACAAAGCTAGTGATCTTATATCTGTACCAATCCAGTAAAAATAAAAGGATATACTCCAAGCTTGATGTAGGCCCATACCTACCTCAGTGGGTGATGCCATCCTTTCTCAAAGGGGTGACACATAACTCTACTGCAATGTAAAGAAGTACAGATTTGTGAGGTTAGTGTCACTCAGCTGCAGCTGGGATTCCAACAGCAGCACAAAGTGGTGTGTTGTTTGGCTTTGCAAAATCACAAGCCATTGTTTCTTGTTCAGTCACCCTGTGCCATGAGAGCAAATAGGATTGCCTTCTCTTTCTCATGCCTTCTCCCTTCCCCCATTTCATTTGATTGGAAGAGGCATATTCTCTGTCTGAAGTTCTTAAAATAATCAAAGGATTGCCTGGACTTTCCTAGCAAAATGAAAAAGCAAGGCTAGCCATATTGACAATGAGAAAGAAGTATCCATAAAGTGTCACGTTCCGGCATTCACATTGCATACAAACAGAGATTCAGTTTGTTTACTGAAAAACGTTTATCTCTATTAAGAAACTACGTGATAACCAACACTAAATGACAATGATACAAAGGTAATCAAATCCAAGTCAGTTCTAACCAAGTTAACACCATCACCCATATATATACCATTACCCCATCCAGCTCCACCCATAACTCCACCCAGATGACACCTACCACCATTACCAATCACCATGACCCACACTCTCAGCCACACCCCCACCAGTGTCATCATAGCCTCTTTCCTGGTTAGCTGCATCCGAACAAAAGAGTTACATCAGAGTAGGCAGTTGCACCCAAGTAGAAGAGTTACATCCGAGTAGGCAGTTGCACCCTAGTAGAAGAGCCACATGCAGCTACAGGCTCAATGAACATCAGAGAGGCAACCTCAACGTGGCAGCGTTAGTGGCGTGTAAGCATGGGTGAGTGGGCATGGTGATGGACAGGTTCCTCCTGGATGACAGCCTGAGGGCTGACATGCCGCCCCCCCCCCCTACCAGTGGAGAGGATTCTGGAAGACAAAAAACGCTATTAGCAGTATCCTCTATAGGTTTATCAGGGTATCGACGATGGAACCGAGCACAAAAACATGATCTTGGCCTGTGAATGGCATTCACCATCTGTGTACTGTAGGAAGAAGATGAGGCTCTGGAATAATGGTTGTGGGAGTCTTCAGGAAAAACAAGTTTGCTGTTTGCAGATTTTTCTGTGCTTGCCACCCATCTTCCTTCAGCACTTAACCTTTCCTTTGCTTTTCCAGTTGGCAGGTTCAGCTGTTATCGCATTTGGGCTATGGCTGCGGTTTGGAAATGTTATAAGAGATTTAGCAACGGATGAGGCCTCCCCAGAATATTTTTATATGGGTAAGTTCCATAACAAGTATTACTGTGTAAATATATTTTTTCTTCAGTAGCAACAACAATAATCAAGCTGGACAAGAAAGCTTTTGCTTCCTGAACACTTTGGGGGTATATTTTATAGATTTTGGCTATTAATCATGACACTTTTGTCCGGAGTTTAAAATTTCGATCATATTCTTATCTTCCCTGATTTTCTCAGAACTTTCATAGGACTTAGTTTCTAGTCTTTTGATTATTCTCATTACTCTTTCTCTGAATGTATCTAAATGTGGTGTCCAGAACTGGACACTCTGCTGGAGAGCAACTCTGACCAATGCAGAATAAAGTGAAACTAGGGTTTCAAAACAATGCATCTTGAAATAATGAATAATGGTAATATCAAGGCTGTTAATGAACGCTAGAATCTAGACATTTAAGTATCATTCACTTGATGCGAAATCTTGCAAAACTGTATAATATTGTTTAAAGATTGTTTAAATGTTTACTTGTTTAATCCAATCTTGAACTGAAGAAAATGTATGTGTAAGCCAGCTGTCTTAACAAGAAGAATTGCCCAGTGAGCCCTGGATAGACTGATATAAGGGAGGAGGTAAAATACGCTAAAGCATCTATGACAAAGCCTTTCTTTCTCTTGCTTAAGTCTAAACACTGTTGAGAGAGTTTAAGTGTTTTTTACGGAGTGAAGTCCTGGCTCATAGCCCAGCCTTTCAGGGATAAAGATCATCAGATGTGACGCATTACACAAACCAAAATATCCAGTTTTGCATCTTGGAGCGAAGGGAAGGGACGCGACAAGCGGGNACTTTAAACACAGGGGAGAGTGGAAGCTACAGATAGTCTTTTTTTCCTTTTCTGGAACCTAAAGACATACACCTATAATTAGATAAAGATAAAGGTTCCCCTCACACATATGTGCTAGTCGTTCCCGATTCTAGGGGTGGTGCTCATCTCCATTTCAAAGCCAAAGAGCCAGCGCTGTCCGAAGACGTCTCCGTGGTCATGTGGCTGGCATGACTAAATGCCGAAGGCACACGGAACGCTGTTATCTTCCCACCAAAGGTGGTCCCTATTTTTCTACTTGCATTTTTTTTACATGCTTTCAAACTGCTAGGTTGGCAGAAGCTGGGACAAGTAACAGGAGCTCACTCCGGTACGCGGCACTAGGGATTCGAATCGCTGAACTGCCAACCTTTCTGATCGACAAGCTCAGCGTCTTGATCTTTTCTGAAATAAAATTAAAGATAGTAAGTTTTCAACTTCTGCTTACCTGCAAGTCTGCAGCTGAGCAGAGAGACACCATCCCCATGATTTCAGGCCTGCAAAGGAGATTTATTACATGTCCACACTTGCCTAGAGTAATTGCTCTGGACATTTAACCACCCACCCCCTTAGCGCTCACCCAAAGTACTCTACACTGGGTTTGCAGAAAAGTCTACCAGAAAAGAGAGTTTAGCCCCTGCTGATTCTTCCGTTTGTCTAGCAATATAATAATACAACTGCCATAAGGAATGTTTATTTTTTGTTTGATTTGTGATGATGTAATGGAATCTTTCAGTATTGGCAAATTTCTCTTCCAGTCATATTATGTTTAATAGGTTAATTGTGCAGAATTAACAAAGAGGCAGGAAGGACAAATTGTTCTAAATAAGAAGTAGTGATTAAACATCCAGAAAATAATATTGCCGAATGGTGGGCTTTTTTTAAAGTTCCAAATGGATGAATATTTATACATATAATGTAAGGCATTTGCAGGACCAGATTTGACTTCTCAAGTGTACCCCATTAGTGTGTGTGAAGGGAAACACAGTAGTTAGAATATTTGGCTAAGGTTGAAAATACGAATTTTAATAATACATCCATTCCTAAATCATCTGAATTCTCATGAATAAACCAATAGCTTACTTTTAAAAGCTTTTTGTGAGGACAAAATATGAGGGGAGAAAATTCTTGCATGCTGCATTGGGCAACTTGAAGAAAAGACATTACACATAAAGTTAGTTGCAGTTGGTGTGCAGGATGTGGGGAGTTGTAGAATGAGAATGAAGAGATTGTGCCTGAAACTTTAAGAGAAAATAGAGCTTTGGATGGATGATTTGGCCAGTTTAAAAAGAAAGAAAAAGATATAGAATGTTTACCACAAGTAGGAATAATGGGATCGTGTGTGGGAAATTATGTCTTTTCTATGAATCTCACTATTTAAATCTCTCAATGTAAGAGAATATTGTAGCTCAGGATTGAACTGTGAGATCCTTGGTGCTCTCTGATCTTACTTGTTTTCTTGCAAAGTTTTCATTACCAAATTAGGTAACATCGGTGCTAGAAGGGGTTTGCTCTCATTTTATATACTAGTGGCTTGCCCTGTAAGTAGTTAATTTCCATTTTACTGTATTAATGAGAAGATTGAAGGAAAAATCTGCTTTTGGTTCTTGGTAATGAAATATTTGTATTAAAAGAAAGACAATCTTTATATCTCAGATATTAAGACAGTGCTTTTCACTCTTTGAAACTTTAAGATAGGTGGACTTTAACTCCTAGAATTCCACAGTCAGTGCTGGCTGGAGTACATACATTTTAAAATTGCCAAGGTTGAAAAATACTGTCTTAAGTGAAGAGGTTTGATAGTCTGCTCCACTTTAAATGGACCACATATTTGCCTCAATGGGGGTCCTGTGAGAATTGTGGTGATTGGAATCATTAAATGAATAAACATCTTATTTTCCTGGGAAATCTGAGATCTCTTTCAGTGTAGTACTTGGCAAAGGTTGATTTTGTAACAGGCATATTTTCAGCAACTTGCTTGCAGTTTCCTTGACAAGGATTCCTTTAGATAAAATTTATTATCAAAACTTCCCTGGGGCCAGACAAAATAACTTGCACAGTAGGGAAGCTCTGGTTACCTTTAGAGTTTAGTAGGGTAGCAGAGTGTGAAAGAACCATAGTGTAGAAATAGTTAGAAATAGTATAGTCATAATCATAGAAATAGAACCATAGAAATAGTAGTCATAATCCATTTAGACAAGTTTGCTGCTTGTACAACTGGGGAATGTTTGGGGTTCTGTTCCTATAAGCAAAATAAACATATTAAGTTGCAGTTGAGGGAATTGGTGTTTTTTTTTTTACTGTGTTCAGGGAATTAGTAATCATATCACTGGGGGAAAATAGAAGTATATTTTGAAGGCATTAGAAAAGCTTAACTCTCCAAGCAGGTTTCTGCCTGGATAAGCCAACAAGACTATTTTGGATCCAAACATGTATTGTTCCATTAGAATTGTGTCATTTTGACAGTCTTCTTTATAGGCAGTAACACATATTTTTATTTTTGGAACATAATCCATTGATTCTCAAAGAATAGCAACCATTCATACAATATATTTGACACACTTAAGGTGTTCTGGTATGTTTGGGAAAAATGAGGCTCCTACACTTCAAGTGGACAGGAAGAAGATCATAATGTATTGGTTAATTTGGGTCAATAATGATTTCTGATGCCTAATCAAATACTTTAAGACAAAAACTATAAAGATGTAAGACCTATAAATCCCAGTGCTGGAATAATAAAAATCCTTAGGGAAAAACAGGAATGGTTTTCATATGCAAAAGAGGTGCAGAATCATAGGATTGGAAGAAACCTTTGAGGTCTTCTAGTCCAATTCTCCCCTCTTGGGTCAAGGCAGGGATCCTTATAAATGATTGTCCAGTATATCCTTGGAAGCCTCCAGCGATGGAGCAGTTACAGATCTAGGAAACAAGCTTTTCCATTGATTAAGTGTTCTTGCTATCAGGAAATTTTTCCTTAGTTCTAGGTTGAGTCTCTCTTTAACGAGCTTCCACCCATTGCTTCTTGTCCTGCTCTCAGGTACTTTGGAGAATAAGTACGGAGTTCATATGTTTGGAGAATATTAGGAATAAATAATTATTCATAAATTCATTTATGAATTGTTCATGAATAATATAACAGAAGCCATTACTTTTAATCATGTATTTATGTATGACAGTGCTTGTTTTTAAAGCTATGAAAAGGTTTATGTATACATCTCAGATCAAAACAAGCAACTACATGGTATAATAATGGTACAAAAATCAACTCCAAACCACCTTAAAAAAACCTAAAAGGCCCAATAGCCCAAGAAGGAAAAACAGGACTCATCTACAACACATTGTTGTAAGGACTATGACAGCTACTGTGTAGGATAGACTTATAGAAGATTAACAGAGCAAATCCATGAATACTAATTAGCAATCAGAAGACATAATGAAAACTCCTTAATTTCACAGCTCATGGACAGACTTAATCATAGTTTCAATTGATAAACTGAGCATCTTAGACCAAGTTAAATCCTAAACTATTAGAGAATTTCTGGAAGCTTCGAACTCGGACAAATTAGCCATCAACAGGCACATAGACATAAAAAACATACAGTATATACAACATTTTTTAAAAGTTAAAAAAATATAAAGACCAGAACATTTCCTCACCAGCTATCAACACCCAAATAAACAGGGATTAATGCCAGGATTAACACCAGACAAACAATGAAGCAGGGAACAATGGGCCCATCAAGGATACCAAGGAGAAAACAATACCTTCACCAATGCTGACAGGGCAAGCCACTGTATATAAACAAAGGGGCAAGCCCAATTCCCTTCTAGCACTGAAGATATTACCTAGTTGAGTAGTGAAACTCAACTTTCCTGTCTGGTATGTCTACTGGTAGATCTGGGAAAAAGGAAATTATTGTTTTTCCATTCTTCTGATCATTTGGGCGAAAATGGGAGGGAGTATGAACTACATTTTCACTACAATCAATGAACCTGCAAGAAAAGAATAGTCAGTCTTTTGATATCCAACTTACACTTTTTTAATGTACATCCTTTCATCACTCTGCAACTTGTATCAGATTGCACAAGTTGTATCAAGTTGTTCACTTTTCACCAACTTCTACAATAAGTTTAAAGTGAAGTGAGGAGGAAAAAAGAAGCTCACCAATTGAGATTTACCCGAG